AGTGTCAGCCACTCATTCACTTCACACATGTTCCTTGAGCACCTGCTATGTACCACAGAAAACGAAACAGGATACTTTCCTCTTGAGATCATCTCACTTTAAGTATTTTCAGGGTTGAAGTTCACATCCAGTGGCACTCATTTGCTGAGCGCCAACTCTGTGTGTGATGCATCGTAAAGCATTCGATGTGCAAAAATGAATCATGCCATCTAGACCTTCCAGGAGCTTACAAAGAGCTTCCTAATTTCCCAGTGGTTTTTACATTTCAGTATCTCTTTAGAAGGAAAATGGTTCATAGTGGTCTACCAGTAGACCACTATGTAAAATGTAATTCTGTTTTATCGGTTCATCTTCATACCTTCTAATAGGTCTCCATGAGAGTGGTGAGAGAGAGTCTGGGGATCTGATCATTTAATTTTTTATTTAGGCTAGTGAGAATACATATCTGATGATTCAAGTTTGGATTTGGGACTAAAATGTTCATTTTGAAGACAGCCCTAACATGACTCATTATTAGATTAAACCGACTTTAATTAGATCAGGCATCTCTTGACATAAAGGAGGAAAATCCATTTTCTTTAAAAATGTGGCAATTTCTAGGAAACTGGCCCCATAATCCTAAATTAAAAGCAGGTTTCCACAAGTTGGATTCATGCCTCCTTTAGCCCCTGGTATTGTATTTGGTCTGTTTAGTTAGTTTAAGGAACAGTAACAGAAGAAGGCAGGATGGATGATGTTAAATGAGGGAAATTTAAGAGAGTCATTATGGCATTAGGCTGGGCCAGAAGGCGAGGGCTGTAAGTAATGAGATACCCACTTTTTAAACAAAGTGCTATGTCTCCATTTGGCGTGACCCTCCCTGGATAAACTGTATATTTTACCCTATTCCCATGGGCAAGAGAAAGTGAAATCAAAGCGGAGTGTTGGGCGAGACATTTATAGGTTCTAAAATGTCTTGTGTGAAGTTGCTTAACTTCTTGTTTTAAATGAAGGTGTTAAAATTCCAATGAAACAGAATATTACAGTAAGTGACCCAGGTGTGGGGAGGTACGAAGAGCACGGACGTTCTAAGAGCCCAGTGCATGAACAGACCATCTGACTATTCACTGGGCACCTCGGATGAAAAATATCACAGGAAAAACCTTAAAGCAAATGAGCCCTGGGAACTTTTCATTTTATTTAAAAGCCATGAGTAATAGAACTCTGTTGGCGATGCTGGAAGAGCTCCTTCAACAATGAGTGAGATGATTACTCCCAGAGAGAGACTGCCCCAAACTTCAGCATAGGAAGGCATCGCTCCCCAGAATGATGATGAAGAGAGAAAGAGAGGGACGGGTTCTACTTAGAATTTTCCAATTGAATGGTATTTTCCAGCTCATCTCAAGAGGGCATTTCTCCTGACTCTTCACTCAACAGGAAGACTCAGGCAAAGAGATCCAGATCTATTTTATCTTGATTTAGTCCGTGTTCTAAGTCATAGAGTGATGCCTTGATATCTTGGATCTCTTGGGTCCGTGAGAGCCCCTCGTCGCAAGGCTTTCGTCTGTAGCAACGCGTGACGCAGCGTCAAGTCCCAGGTTAGGGACCACTATTTACTTATTCATAATAGAACCAAATTATTAGGTGCCAGAATTGGATTCAAGTCCTGAACAAATATTCTTATTTAACCTTTAAACATTAAGCCCATGAAGTATATACTGTTATTATCCCTGTTTTCAGACATAAGGAAATGGACTTACAAAGGTTAAATAATTTGTCCAAGTTTACAAAGTGAGTAGCAGGGTGAGTTACGAGCAAAACATGGACAAACTGGCTCTAAAAGCCACTGTGAGTTTCTGCATTTAAAGCCTCCAGGATGTTCCCAAAGTCAAAATTTAATTGATCTCATTCATAATTCTGGAGAAGCCAGAGAGGCAGCTGAGAAAAAGCCATCAAGAGACGAAGCGATAAAGTTGGCGGGAACCCACACTTAATTTGAGGCAATTCTGAGACTGGAATGCAAACCTCTTCAGGGTATTTACTGCTTTGTCTCCTCAAGCTGTGTGTTGCTGGACTGGACTCTTGGTCTGTATACTGCAAAGCTGGAGTCACTACTGATCAGGAGTGAAAGCAGTGTCCATGAGTCCTGTAGCTGCTTCTCTGCTCTTTTCAGAACAGATCAAGCCAGTTTTCTCCATGTCCCCTTCTGCCTTCTAAGAAAGGTGCTCCTCCGTTGACGGGTCTGTGGAGCCCTCCACCTGAGAGGAACTCCTCTGGCCTCATATCTCCCTGACCAAACTCTACTCATCTTGTAAATTCCCTTGCAAATATCACCTCTTACAAAGAATTTTCCAACTTACTTCCTGTCCCCTTTTAGTCATTTCTTACCTCAACCAGGTAAAACAAGGTCTATCTTCCCCAGACTTTCATAACATCTCACCTGTAACTTTCTTCTGGCTTTTCCACATGTGTTCCATGCACATTCTTCTCTCCTGTGCTTAGTGAGTTTCTTGAAGACAGGAACTGTGTCTCCATCATCACAGAATTCTCCCTGGCATCTGGTCCAGTCCCCTTCATCCTCATTGGAGGTACAGTCACTGCCTGATGGGTGAATGAATTAATGCACAGCATCAAGGAGTAACCCACACTCTGATGTCAGTCTCCCTGCCTTGGTGACCCAGTTCCCCCCGAACCCAGTTCTCCAGATGACGGCGATGCCTGTTTAGGTGAACTGGCTTCCTCTGACGTTTCAGTTTGCTCATGTGCTGGGACTCCCTGCGGACAGAGACAGGTCTCCTTAGTAAGATCTCCTGCACCCCAAGACGAATCCTGGTCTTTTCAGGGTGGCACAGAAATATCTTATGTGGAGGACCTTTTTTTCTCAGTTAGGAGCAGAAAATCTCATTTCACCTCTCTTCTTTGAAGAAAGCAAGCTTTAATTTTTTTATTGAAAAAAAACTCTTTTCCCTATAAAACACGAATTTGTTTTGCTTTGTGGTCCCAAATGCCAAATACCCACCCCCCTCCCCCATCCATCAATAGATCAGTACATAAATTTCTTGCTGAAGCAGGAAATATTTAATCCAGTTGAGCTGGCTGATCCTACCATCAAGATGTTAGAGCCAACTAGCATTTTGTACCTCAGCTGAACCTACAAACCTGAGTTGATTGGAGCCGGTCCTCCTCCGCCCTGGCACGAAACTTGCCTGTCTTTGCCATGTGTTTCCACTGGCATGTGGCTTAGGAGCTTACAAGTGGCTGATTGCTATACATATAAAGAAATCAAATCTGGCAACAATGAGAGAGTGGGGAGAGAGATCTTTATTTTCCAGGCAGTTCTAGGCGAAAGCCAACATCCTGACCATGGTAACCATGCAAGGTTCAACGGCATTTTCCAGTGTTGAGGTTTTGAACTCAGTGTGTTGATGGATTTTTAAAATCATCAACAATATTCTGCCAGTCTGCAGACCCCTGTGTGCTGTAGCCATTCACACTTTTCTCCTGCATTTTCTGAGCAGTTGCAGAGTGTAGTAAGGGCAGCTATCTTGCTTATTCCATTTTGGGAGCTGTTTTTCAGCCACATGAATATTCGTTTAGTCATTCACCCAATCGATAAATATTTACCGAGGTCATGACTGTGCCAAGTGCCCCAGGTGCTAGGGACAGAAGGAACTCATGTTCATCAGGGTGATTTTATAGCCAGGGAGAAGACATAAACAAATAAACAGTAAATGACTATAGGCCAACAAGATAAACACTTTGAAATTCTTCATAAGTGTATGAACAAAATAAAACAGGATGACTTGGTAGCTACTTGTTGGGGAGGGGTGGAGAGGGGTGAGAAAGGAGGCAATTAGATTGTCAGAGAAAGTCTCTCTGAAGAGATGTTTCCAGAGCTGAGACCATACATGAATCACAGGGGCCATGAGTTGCTGCTGGGAATAGATTTCAGAAGGATAAGAACGGAAAGAGAGGAAGGAGCTAAGAGGCTTGTTGGAGGTGGTGAGGTGAAAGGGGCTGGTGCTTTAGTTAAAGGTGGAAGAAATGGAGGTGCGGGAAAGAGACAAAGACCAAAAGATGGTTTTAATGTCATGAGAATATTTCCATGAGGGTCCAGAGGTGCCAAATGATTAAACACATTTTCATGACAGATCTCCATCTCCGAGACAATATGGAAGCTATTACCTATTTTTCAAGGTTAGTAAACCAAGTCACTGACACATGAAAATATTCTTATTTTAGTTCTTTTGAGATACCATTTTCACTCACGAATACTAGTTGGTCATGCAGATCACTTTCTTGGAGAGCAGGATACTTGAAAGATGAGGTGGAAAGAGGCTCTGAGTAATAAAAGCCAGTTTCAAAAGGTGTGACATAATTACAGAGATAGAAGACAGATGAGTGGTTGCCAGGGATTAAGCTCCCCGCTGGGAGGACATGACTATGCAAGGACAGCATGAAGGACTTTCTCTGTCACAACAGAATAGTTCTGCATCCTGATTATGGTGGTGGGTACATGCATCTATAAACATACATTTGACTAAATAAAGAAGTTGAATATACAATGGAATACTACTCAGCCATAAAAAGAATAAAATAATCCCATTTGCAGCAACATGGATGGACCTAGAGATTATCATACTAAGTGAAGCCAGAAAGAGAAAGATAAATACCATATGATATCACTCATACGTGGAATCTAAAAAAATGACAGCAATGAACTTATTTACAAAACAGAAACAGACTCATGTAGAAATCAAACTTATGGTTACCAGGGAGGAAAGTGGGTGGGAAGAGATAAATTGGGAGTTTGAGACTTGTGGGTACTACTATATATAAAGTAAATAAACAGCAAGTTTTTTCTGTAGAGCACAGGGAAGTATATTCAATATCTTGTGGTAACCTATAATGGAAAAGCTTATGAAAAGGAATACATTCTTGAAAAATGTTTTAGTCATACATATACATACATATATATATATATGCATATTCCTTTTCATAGCTTGAATATAGTTCCCTGTGCTATACAGAAGAAATTTGCTGTTTATATATTTTACACATAGCAGTTAGTAAAAAGAGATTTGTTAACTGTCCTCTGAGCACAGAATCCCAACTGTCCAGAAATGAACTCTTGGGACATGGAAGGAAATTCCCTCTCATTCTAGAGCAAAGATGCTACAAACGGGATGGAAGAAGCACTCACCACTTTATTCTCTCCCATTAATTTTTAAATAACTAAATCTCACGCCACTTCTGTGTAGCTTCCTTGTTACTAACATTTTCCTATGTCACAAAATATCCATTAATGGCTGCATAGTATTTCAAGTTTTGGACATACTATAATTTAGTTTAACAATAACATATTGTTGGATATTTAGTTTCAAATAAATTTAATCTGTTTGTGTATCTCTGACCATGCCTTTAGGACAATTTCCTAGAAGTAGAATTTTGGGGTTAGAGGACAAGAACATTTTAAGTACTCAAGAAAACATTGTCAAAAGAATATAAATTGTGTGATGGATAATTTATTTGGGTATTTCTGTTTTGTCCATCCTGCTATTAAAATGGTTTTGCCTTCTGTGGGTCCTCAGCCTGGCCTCTTTGATTAGGAAGAGGAAAATAGTCTTTGTAAAGTTAAAACCTGTGGCTTTCAGTCTCCAGCCAGTCTTGAACTTGGTTAAGACTGTGGCCATCCTGTCTCCCAAAGGAAAGGAAAGAAAGATGATGACACTGCTTGGATAATACCAATTTTTCCTTCCGAAACAGTAGGATGAAGTAAGTGGACACAAAATAGAAACATATGGATAATATTTTCCTGGAAATACTCAAGGATTTATCAAATGAAAGGAAATGTATTTGGACAGGGATCTTGAGGTTCTGTGGCAGTACAAACGACTGAGGGTAGTCTTGGAGAGTTTCTAGAGATGTACAGTGCTCATTAACACATCAAGAATGACCAACAAAGACGCATCTTCAGGTCTAGCTTTGCAAGGGAGGGGATGATGACAGACTGTCGGCAAGTTTACAGAGTCTCCCCTGTGACTCATGCTGGGTCACGACAGGGCCGGTCTAACCAGCCAGCTGAGCAGAGACCCACAGCGGGGAGCTGGGGCGAATCCACCTTCCTTTAGAGGCCGAGTGCCTCTTCTTCTCCAATCAATACCATCATGGTGACACTGGCGAGAACGGGGAGCTCCGGTAGAAGTCTTGGACCTTGCAAGCCAAGCGTCTTAAATTCTGTCTGTAAAAAAGGGAGGTTGAATTTATTCTTTTGTTCCACTTTCCCATTTGACCTTCTGCCTCTACCCCACCCCAGGGAACACCACTTACCTTGAAATGATGAGTGTGATCCATCAATTATTTCTGTTTCTATTGAATCTTCAGCTGCTGGCTCAACCAGAAAATGTTTTTGTCGTTAAACACTGTCACAGACTTGGAAAGCCGAAAACAAAATATAGCCAAACAACCTCCCTCCCTCCCACATTTCCCAATGTTGACTCAATTATTTTTCAAAAGCCCCAGAAGTTTCCACCAAGCTAGGCTACTTGGCAGAATGCTTGAGATCAGCTCAGAGAGGTTTTGAGAATGAAATGAGTTCATTCGTGTAAGTTTCTTCTCACCATCCTGACCTGTGGTGAGCGTGGGGTGCAGTGTCAGCTCTGTTAGGGAAAGGCTCTTTCACTGTTGTTCACTGAACAATAACAGTGCCCAATCGTGTAGGTGCCCAATACATATTTGTTGTTTACTTTTATTATCGTAGTTTTCATCAGCAAGCTCATAGCAGCATGCAGACTAATGTTAATAATAACAAATATATATTGAGCTTTGCTATGGCCAAGGCATCGTGTTACATCTCCTTTATTCCTCAAAACGACCCTGTTAGATAGCTATTACTATTATGCCCCAGTTATTGGTGTGGATACTGAGATCAGGAGAGAGAGAGTAACTTGCCCAAAGCCACACAGCTAGTAAATTAACAGCCGGGATTAAAACCAGGGCAGTCTGGCCTCCAGGGCTGCAGTATGAAATAGAGGAGTATGCGCTCAGGAAAACCAGCATGTGAAAGATGAAGATGTTGTGGGAACCCCATTTTATGAGCAAAATGTAGAGTGTCTTAGAGAAAGGCATGTCAGTGAGGAAGATAATGGCTGGTGTGGACCTTCTGATCTCCTCTAGAAGCCAGGCTGTTGTCAAGCCTTGGGCATTCCTCCAGGGACCCTGTCAACTGAGCTGTCCCCCCTCACCTGTATTTTAAAAACCATTTTAGCACATTTGCAGTCTCCATCTGACTCTCTGAAGACACGCATGTATATAAGATTTTGTGTGTATAAATACACACATATGTATATATATTTGCTTAACCATTCAAAAATAAGTTGCAGGTGTTATGACAATTCACCCCTAAATGCTTCAGCATGTGTCTCCTAAGAAAAAGGACATTTTCCTACACAGTCACATAGCGTTATCATCCCCAAAATTAAACACTGAGTCAATAACATCGTCTAATCTATAGTTAAGCATCATAGTTTGTTTTTTTTTTTTTTGGATCCAGGATCCAATCAAAAATGACATACCACTTAGTTGCCACGTTTCTTTATTTTCCTTTAATCCAGGAAATCCCTTTGCATTTCTTTTTCTTTCATGATGTTGACAATTTTGAAGAATCCAGGCCAGTTGGTTTGTGGCATGTCATTGAATTTGATACATGCAATGATGGAGAATTTGGTTACGTCTGATTGTTTCCTCTTGACTGGATTCAGTTTATGTATTTGGGAGGAAGAATACCACATGGGACATGTCAAATCTTTCTCAGTGCATCACAGCAGAAAGTACTCAAAGAGTGTTCCATGATACTTGCTAAGTTGATTTCTTACCTAACAGATTTCTCCATTATGAAGGTAACTTTTCTTCTCTGTAAATAATCATCAGAGGGATAGTGTTTCAGACCCTGTGACTATCCACTCCCTGACACCTTTCATCCAGTGACCTTACTATCCATCCCTTGGTGCTCCTTTTCTGAGTCAGTTATGGCACTTGTAACTGCAAAATCCCTCACCTGCATTTGACTTTTAAGGAGAAGGATTATTGGGGAATAAAGCTCCCATGTATCCCAGCCCTCTTCTAACCTGGTCTGGACAGCCTTCTACTCCGTTGTGCATCTTTAGGGAAATAGAGCCGGAACCTTAAAAAAAAAATCCACTAAGATGTCAAACCACAGTCATATTCAGCCATTTTACAACCAAATGAACTCCGGAGTTCCATGCCTTGGAGAGCTACCACGAGATTTTCAATACAAAAACACATTCTTATGTATCTACCAGTTTAAAAAAATTATCTGTGGGATATTTCAAACAAGAAAGTGCTAGTGACCGACCAAAGAAGGCAGCTGCTCTAACATAAATAGGCCGTTATCCCAACTCATCTGTACAGTCCATTTGGAGTTTAAGATTAATAACCACAGATAAGGTAAAAAGTAGTCACAGATTAATGTAAAATCATTTAGCAAAATACACTCTCTTCTCATTGCTCCAGTCCCATAAGAAGGCAATGCTTCAGTCACAGAATGTTCCTTACTACTGACAGCTGAGATAAAACACTGAGGGTGAGGATGGCAACCCGGTTCTCAGGTTATAAATGTAACAGGGTAGTGGAGTCTCAGCTTTTTCTTTTTGGTTGAAAGAGTACAGAAAATATAAATCTTCAAAGTAATTCAGAGTTATTTCCCCACACAATTAGATTGATCTCTGGGGAGCAATCCTCTGGTTGAAGTCCTGAGAGTCCATCTTCAGTTGAGTTCTTTTCAGAGTTCTTCTCTGGTCCAACTGACTTTCTTCTGCATCATTCTAAAAAAAAAAAAAAAAAAAAAAAGTCCAGGTCTAGAAAGTTTAAAGAAGAGCATTTTCAGTTGGATGTCAGTTTCCTCTCCAGAGTTCTCAAATTAAACAATTCCATTCCTTTAATTTCATTCTGTGTTCGTAGTGTGCCAATCACGAGGCTTGGTGTTGTGTGTACAAGTAGGGTAAGAAGGGATCAAAAGAAGTTATTCAAGCAAAAACTGACAGAAGTGCCTTCTGGGGAAACCACCTAATTTCAATCCAGAATCTAAGAGTCCTTAGATTTGGGAAGACACTTGATGAGACCTGATGGGCCCTGTTGGGTAGGAAAGAGGGGTGCCCTCCTCTGGCCCAGCCCCCTCACGGGGAGTCTGAGCCCACAGCTGCCCCGAAAGCAGCTGCCACTGGGAAGTGTGGCTAGAACCTCAGGAGATGCAACTCTGTGAGTTCCTACCGCTCCGGGCCCCCCAGTTTTCTCTGTCTTCCTCATGCAAAGTGCCTTGAAGGTCTATGGAGAGGCAGAGCTCGTCTGGTTTTCTGTAAGTTCTGCAGGAAGACAGCAGTATCCTAGCAGGCCTCGTGCTCAGATTGGAGCCTCTGAAGCTCCATGCCTTGACAGCTTAATCTCACAGCAGGGACCCTGGGCACTGGGAAGGAAACAGACATGTCAAAGTTGCTGTGGCTTCGAGTGACTCTGTCACTGGAGCTACTGCAGGAAGACTCAGTAAGGCTAGAGACCAGAGGGACACAGGGACCTTCCCAAGCACCAAAAGCTTGAGCCATCAGGTTAAGAATACCAATGAGCAATTGTAAATATATACAGATACACATGCATATGTATATATCACGCAACGAGATATATGCTACACCCAAATATATGTGCATGTTTATTTTAACCATACAAATGAATGTGCATAAGGTTTATCAATACATACACTTTTCAGTGTCTATTCTTTTGTTTATTTGTATGTATTTTTTTACTCCTTAGGGACAATATTCAAAACGTTGCCCATGGAGGCTACAAAAGTTTGCAACAAACAAAAGCTAGCAACGAGCCAGGAATTACACTATACTCTTTGGAAAGAGAATAAAGAAATGGCTAGATAGTAATTAGTTCAAACATGCCACTCAGAGGGAACTGCCAGTAATGAATGCAGGCAAGGAAAGAGATGCCAATTAAGTGTATTCATTTAAAGATGTTTATTGACACTTACTCTGTGCTAGACACTCTGCTGGTGGGAAGTTACAAAGGTGAATAGGTGCTTTACATAGATGATTTAATCTTCTCTAAGATTCCATGGAATCTCTGTATATAAAAAAATGAGGTTCAGAAAGTCTAAGCAACTCTTCCAATGTCACCTGGCTAATACGTGGACAAGCCAGTATTCAAAATTAAACGTGCTGATTGTTCCCTGGCTACGTCTCTCATCATTTGGGGTCACCATGAAGAGTGAGATGAATTGCTGTCGAAAAAGCCCCACACTTGGAATCAGAAAATCTGGCTTTGACACTAGTGATGCCACTTGCTAGGCGGTCGGCTTGAGTGTACCAACTCCGTCTGTCTGTTTTGTAAGAGATAATCACAGATGTCTGGTCTACCTCTTTAGATAGTTGGGGGATTAAAATGACAATGGCAAGTATTTTGAGGCAACAGTAAGGTCCTATTATTTATAGTTTGCTTTACTAACAGGTGATGATAGAGAAAAATGATAATGAAAGAGCTGGCAAATGAGATGTATTCCAGCAGCCCTTGGCAATCTTACGTACTTTCTAAAGCAGAGAGGATGTCTCTGGTCTCTGGAGTTTATGAAAAAGCAGTTCTCGAGGTGCCATTTCTGGGGCTGGTCTGCAATGCTCTAGATTGTCTGTTACACGGGTAACCGCATAGAATCACTTAAACAAGTTGTAGGAAAGTTATGTCCATAAAAACAGTAATTGTTATAATCTAGCATTATGAATAATTATACTAAAGTATAAATATGTATTAAGTACTTGCTACCACAGGAAAGAACAAGAGCTCTTTTTCAATTCTGAAATTATATTTAACGTCACTCTAGATGACTCAGCTGATTTCCAGCGAAATGAGTAGATTTTCCTTATGACATGTCTGGTCTCAGCAGACTACCCGTCTAACCACGGGGGTCTAAGCAAATCAAAAGGCTGCTTGCTTTTAAAAAGTTTGAACAAGTATAATTTCCCTGGCCAAAGAATAAGTACTTGTAAGATTAAAGCCTTGTCATTCAGCAAAAATACTTGCTCATATGCCCAAAGATCCCAGTCATGCTGGGAGCCATTAGTATTGCAACAAAAATATTGGTCCAGATAAATCTACTAATTACTGATCATTGTTGGATGTGAGCTGAAACAGAAGTCAAAATATCCTTCTAAGGAAGGAGGGTGTAGCTCAGCGGCAGAGCGCATGCTTAGTATGCATGAGGTCCTGGGTTCAATCCCCAGTTCCTCCTTTAAACAACAAATAAATAAATAAATAAAATATCCTTCTAAAGTCAATATTTGAGGCTTTTGTTTTTGTTCTTTCCAAAGGGATCATGGAACTGGGAGGATTTCCTAAAACCTGAATAATGATAATGATTATGAAAATAAACACTTATTTAGAATATATACAGAACTAGGAACAGTTATAAACATCTTACAAATACTAATCTTTCAAACTTCTCAATAAGCTTATAGGATACTGTGTATCAATTAGCATTTATTGCATAACAAACTACCTCAAAATATAATGGTATAAAACAACACTCACGTTTTTAGCTCACAATTCTGCTGCTGAGTCATTTGGGCTGGGCTCAGCTGGGTGGTTCTTCTGGTCTTGACTGGGCTCTTTCTTGTCTATGTGGTCAGAGGCTTTTGACGAGGGGCTGACTGGTCTAGGACAGCCTCAAAGGGGATGCTTGTCTCTGCCCTGCCATCTCTCATTCCTCAGCAGACTTACTGGGGCTTGTTCCCATGGTGGCTGGACAGGGTTCTGAGTGACAGTGGAAGCAGCCAGGGCCTCTCAAGGCTTAGGCTTAGAGTCGGCATGCTCTCACTTCCGTCACACTTCATTGTCCAAAGCAAGTCACAAGTTCAGATCAGATTAACAGGGGTAGGAAATAAATTTCATTACTTGGTGCAAGGACCTGCAAGGTCACACTGCAAAGGGTTTGGATGAAAAGGAGTGAAGGGTTGTGGACATTTCTGCAATCTTCCACCAGTAGGTACCCTTATTGTCCCCATATACCAATGAGGAAACTGAGGCTCAGAGAGGTTATAAAACCCACTAAAGGTCACACAGCATCCTGCTATCCATTTCTCTCTTCAGTCATAGTTATTTTGCTTCTTTGTATTTTTTACAAAAAGATACATATTGAGTGATATTCAGCTCTGAGTTATTCACAACATGTACCTGAGAGATATTCAATTCTGAGTGAAAAAGAATTCAAACAAGATTGAAGCTAAACTCTAACAGAATTTTCAAGGCTAATTCCAAATTTGAGCCCCAGCCACAGAGAGCACATTAGCACACTAGTACATAGGAAAACTATTCCTCTTCGGAGAAGAAAGTTCATACAGCAATTTCTCATGCTTTCAAAGGAATGTGGTTGGTTTCTCTTTCAGTTTTGAGAAAGAAGACAGTTCTGCCTTCTGCTTTTCCTCATATATCACAAGAGAAATCTCATGACTCCTTCCTTTGAGATAGAAAGCAGGGTTCTTCCAGATACTCTGAAGAGTTGGTAACATTTAGCCTATATAATCTGGGATGGGATACCATGATCCTTCCAGAATTCAAAGCCTGGCATCAGTAACTATGGAAGAGTGGTCACAAGGTCCTGCAGATAAAGCACAGACTGGATCCAAAGGGAGTCAAATTTGTAAACCAGGTCACCTTGCCCAAATGCTCTATTCCTTCTGGGGTTGGACTTGGCTAGTCAGTCGGCCATTACTTGGATGAAAGACTCATGATTTGTGTAGGGTAATTTTTGACCCTGAATTCTGAAAGTACAGAATGAGGAGGTCCAGTCATTAGAAGAAAATCTTCTGTAGGTTATTTATCATGAGACTTAAAACATAGACACTTCGCCACAATGTTTGACTTAATCAGCGGCAATCAGGCAAATATCCAAAATGTTTACTTGGTCATCTAAGAAATGTTATGGGTGATTTTGATTTTTTTGCTTTATATTTTTATCCAATCAACTAAAATTTCTATGATCAAGATTTTATTTTTATCATCAGAAAAAAACTGAGAAAATCTGTTATTAATTGAATAAAGATGAATAAAGATGGAGTTTGAAGCCTGCACCAAATATCATCATCTCTAATTCACACAGGTGAGGATAAAATAATTTTTCTTATAATTGTCCTTGAAATGCACATGAATTGCACCAGCATGTGAAATCCCGTGTCTTCTCAGCCCACCAGCAGCCAGCCCACTGCAGTGTGAGGCCTGGGTGATGGAGCGGTGCCCTGGCTCCACCCCCAGCCCGACCTGGAGCCCCCGGGGGCTGGCCTGCAGCTGCTGGAATGAC